AAGTACTTCCTTGATGTGTCAAGGAAATTGCAGATACTGAATTATAATAGTATAATTATACACTGAAATAAAATTCAGTGACAATTTCTGGGTAAAATATTTTAGTCGAGACACTAAAGAATAAAAATATCAATTATCAATAAATATTTTGGGGTCAAACGTGACATTTTAAATACCAAAAGCTAACACTACCATCCTTAATATTTCTTTAAGTCACCATTTCACTAAATCACTGTAATTATACTCAATTTCCATCTCTGAATCTATGTTACCTTACCTGATGTGTTGTTTAAGGTGGCAAGATTTTTTATATGCACGATGACAATAAAAACACTTGTATGGTCTATCTGCTTCATTTACAAAATTATTATTAAAATAACTTTGAAAAAACTGGTTTCTTGGAATAGGCTGGATAAGACCTACAAACCAAAAGAAAATCAGGAATAATTCACTGTCAATGCTACTAAAAAAGTTTAATGTCAAAAGGCATCTGCTTTACCCAGAAAGTGAAAATTCTGAGGAGTTAAAGTATAGATTCCAATGTTGCAATTAAATGCTATTTTAATTGTGTTAGGAACTGACTATTTAAAGAATACCTATCAGGAGATGCTTACATAGTTAATATAAGATAGATATTTTTTCAACATAAGGACTATCTATAATGTCATAGTTACTTCCCTTGGTTCTAGAACCAATTTTTAATGGATTCCTACATTTACTTTTTATATGAGCATTTGTTGGCATGGAATTTACCTAACTATATCCAAAATTTAGGTTAATCAGGATTTTTAATCCCTTACTTGTTCAGTATGAAGACTGCATACTAGGTACTATAATAAACTCAAAGGAGAAATGATTCTAACATGATCTTTTGTTCTAAAAAAAGTCAGTGTTTCATAGAAAGCTTATTAAAGGGATATTTGCAAATAGCAAAATTACTAACAAATATTTCAGGTTTTACATACTTTCAATAAATAAACAATTCCCTTAGGTTGACCACGTAATAAACATTTCTTGATCAAGCTATTGAGTAGCAATTCAGGACAAATGTACTTTTGAATTATTTAATATTTTCCTGGAACATTAAGAGGAAGACTCATGCTGTCATTCTATCTTGGCTGTTACTCCTCCTCCAAGGCAATGCAGCTATCTGCCAAGATTCTGGACTCGGCCCACAATCTCTCTCCTCTCTTAGCTGTACCATTAACTCCTACACAATGATTATCAATAGGCACCTCCTAACACACTGCTTTCCTAATTCTCTACCAGTCCAGGATACAGCTCATTCTTTGCCCTAAAACCTACTTCTTCCTCCTAACTCTCCTACTTGTACCTATGGAACACCCTTCTCCTAGTCACACAGGGCCAGGTATTTAAGAATCTTTGACAGCTCTCTTCTCTGTCTCATTAAGTTTGTCATTTGCCAGTCCTGGAGATCGTACTTGTCCAATGTCTCTTAAACTTGTTTCCTCATTTCTATTTCTCTGCTACCAATCTCAAACAAAGGAGAAAAAAATTAAAGCTGAAGAGAATTCGATACCTCAGCTAAATCATATTGCTCATATATTAGACCTAACTAAACTGACCTGTACTTCCTGATGCTTGCAACAGAAGCTCATTTATTTTTCAAAGAGAATTCAAAACCCTCCCTTATGATTTATGTATAATCCACACAGCAAAACTCTAAGAGCTGCCAAGGCTTTTCCCATTTCGCCAGTTTTTTGAGCAGTAACAGTACCATACGAGGACATTCTCCCTCCCGGCAGCTCCAACATCACTCTGTGCTTCAAGGCATTGGCTTGCTTTTACCCTAATGACTCTTCTCTCCTGCCCCCACAAAAAAACTTCATCATTCAGTCCACCCCCACTACCTTCTCCAGGCCACACATACTAAATCTGATGTAGACGGAATGACACGCCTGGTGCTCAAAGACACAATGGCCGTACAAGGGCTGATCCTTTAAACCTAGACTCGTGTTCTCTCCTCTACATGGCTCTGTGAAATACTCATGTAGACAATGCTAGCCTCCCAAATGATTGTTCTACTCTACCTTCTCATGTCACTGACAGAAAAACATTTTTACTAAAGTAAGCCATGATCTTAACAGCAGTTTGCTCAGATACCTTCAATGGCTTACTATCAAGAACTTAATTATTACAACTGCCCGGCTTGGCATTCCAACACTGGCTTGTTCTTTCTATCCATATCTATCCATCCAACCACCCACCCATCTATCTATATATGCAGCTTTATCTTGTCCCTCTATATCATTAAGCTCTCCCTATTTTCTCAACAAACCCACACTTTCCCACCTCTACACTTTGACATTTCTATTTCAGCATTTGTCACTGCTTGCTCTCTTGTCTCTTTTCCCCACTCCACTGGGTATAGCTTCTTGAGCCTAGGACTTGTCCCATGGTCACGAACATAGCCATGGGCCAACATAACAACTGCCAAGCAGGACACATAAATATGACTGAATAAATTAATGATCCCGTTCCCAGTGTCTAGAAATTAGAGACTGAAGGAAAGAAACGTGCACAAATTCAAACTAAGATTATTTATTCATGGTCTTACAGTCAACTTTTATTGGACATCTACTGTGTTTATGGAACCATGTTAAGTGCTATGAAGAGAACAGAAAACTAATGTGAATATTCTCCAAAGTGGTAACTAAAATGAGTGACACCTCTGGCACTACTAAGCTTATGAAACTGTAAAATTCAAATGCTCACTGTGGAAGGTCCTCTGATAATGCACAACAGCATATTAGACACAGTTATTTGGAATTTTATACAAATAGGTTCAATAACTGTTAGCAAAAAAGTACCAGTTAATTAAAGTTGTAAACTCAATATCTGATAAGCCATTTTCTTGCTCCTTGTTGAACTTAATGGAATGAATTGTTTCTAAGAAAAACATAAATAAAAAAATTTAAAAACTCTCCTCCCACAACTAAAATGAACTGTACAAATATACAAATGTGAGAAATTTTGCATGTTTCATTAGACAAGATATACATTAAAAAGCAACAAGAAAGAAAAACATAGGAAAGTGAAATAATTTTAAGCAATTAGTTACATAAATTACATAAATTCACGGAAGCAGGTAAAATTAATGAAATTTACAAGGTAATTTTTAAAAAGCCCTCTAATGGTTGTCTTCTATCTGTTTCACAGGGAAAAAAATAAGGTACTTAAGTGAGAAAACAAATTATTGCTTTTACCATTTCCCACACCAAAAAAGAATATGCCTTATGGGGGCTGGGGAAGGGCTGCTGTTCAAAATCTTACCAACAGTCAGACTTGAAGGCCACTGATAAAATTAGGATCTCGGGAGACTTTCTCCTAGAGCTCTGCAGTATAGACAGCAAGCTCTCTAGATGGCACAATTGTGTGGTTCCGCAGGAGCAGTCAGGCCTGGACTCCTCCAGGCTTTAGGCCACACCTGATTTAGCACCTTTCGACACACGACCAACCATCCGCCTTGTCAGCCCCTGACATCCAGCCTTTGCTGAAGCAACCTCACACCGGAATATGATCTAGAGACTTAAGACTGCCTATCTGCCCACGGATCATCCCTCCACTCTGTGTCACCCCCATCCTGGGCCAGGGTCCCCCCTCCAGCCACCTCCCTCTGCAGCAAACACCCACCCAGCCCCCCATGTTCTCCTCCCAACTCTTTCTCCTGTGGCTTCTGGAAACTACATTCCATGGTAAACAAATTCTCCATCATAAACAACTTCACAGAAATGTTTAGTTCATTATTTCTTCTCCAGAAAAGTAAGTCTCTGGTCAAACTGCTTCCCTTGAAGCTCTCACTCCTGACGACCCACTCTTTGAGTCTGCTGGGCCCCAGCCTCATGTCCTGGCCTGTCCTCAGTCTCCCAGTCTTTCACTTCCTTCCCAATCCTGCCTGTACTCCATGAGCCGAATCCCCTTATCTAACCCCTTGCCAATCCACTCTTATGCAACCTGCAAGTCCTCTGGCCCCTTCTCAAACAATTCAGAAGATCATAAATAGAAAAACAAAAGAACTTGCACAGTTACACCTCTCAGAGAAAACCATAGTTGACAGTTTGGTGTATACTCTAAAAAAGGAATTTGTTATGTACAAACATCAATGGGATCGACCATACACACTGTTATTACCTGTTTATACTTCATATATATGTCTAATGTCTTTCTAAGTCATTACATATGACACCATCCCCAACATGTCTGCAAGGAATTTCACTGTACCAATGTACCTAGTTCACTTAATACACTTTTGATGGATATTTCAATTTCTATTTCTAACTGTGTATACTGTCACAATGTTGCAATAAACAATCTAGTGTATACAACTGTTACCTTAGTGTTTTCCCCCTAGACGTGCAATTATAATTCCTGGGGGGTATCCAGGCATATGTATTTTGAAACAGATCTCCAGATGGTTCTAAGCCCTTTGCAAGAAGGGTTTGTGGGGCTCTACTTTGAGCTATTAAAGAAGTAAAATAACAGGCCTCATTTTTTAGATGCCTTATTTTTCACCTCTAATAATTTTATAAACACAAAGTTCTGTTAAAAAGTTAGGCTAATTATAAGATCTCAATCTTTAGAGAAAAAAAACTAAGTGTGATTAAACACACATAAAAGTCCTAACGGCCTCGGCTATATTATGTCATTTCTACTGGACTATCAGTCCTTAATATTTTTTTAAGGAAATTACTAATCTCAAAGAAAGGCATGAATAAATTTCAGTTAATTAATATGCCTTAAAAACAAACTAGAAACATCCTTAAAACTTCCTAAAATCCCTTCTACAGTAACAGAAGAAAAAGCTTTATCTTGTTATGGGGCTTGAGGAAAATACAACTTAGTTTTACAAAAGCTTTCATATAGTGCAATCAGTAAGAGAATGCAAATACTGCAAAATGACAAAATGATGACAAACATAACATATATTATATATAAGATACATAAGATATATAAAATCCTACATAAGATATATAAAATAAATTTGATATACTAGGTTAGACAAATGTGTTAGAGAAAAGCAAGATAAATGCACTAATATCAATATGATTAAAACATGAATATGAACTTGGAAGATCAATTATTACAGCCCTGAGGTTTAAAATAATAGATAACCAAACCCTGTCTCACTTCAATGAAAAGATATTTCAAACATTTATGCTACGCAAAATGGAAAAATGGTGATACTACACTTACACACACAGAGTCATATATAGAGAAAAAGAGTGATTGTTTTAAAAATAGGCATATCATACATATATATATATATGATTTGAAAATCCAGAAGCAGCTACAGATCAGAATATTTTGACCACCTTGAGTCCAATACTTCCCACGTTATTTTATTTAACATTTAGTTCTTGAATTACAAGAAAAAACATTTAGAGTAGAACAGACTCTAAACACTAGTAAAATACAATCCCTAAAATGCAATAAACTACACAATATTCAAGTTCAGTAAAGACTACTGGTGCTTGATATCAAGATACAGTGACTCTGAAAATCATGGTGTACTCTTCCATACTTCTGTGCACAGAGTGCAGTGGTAATGGATGTGGGAAGGAAGTAAGCTTTACTGAACACAGCCCTGGTCTAGAAGTCAGAATATCCAGGTTCTAGTTCTACCAGGAGCAAAAACTAGTTGTACAACCTAAAAGCAATTTTATAACTCTCTACACCCCAGTTTTTACATCTGTAAAAATGAGGAATGAGGATGTAGAGAAGCTTTGGAAAGACTATTTTTAAGTTCCCATGCAGCTCTAAAAGTTTTTAAAAATATATCACTACTTAGTACTATACCATCCCACAGTGCTGCCTTAATATGCAGAGATTAAATCACTCTAATACTTTCCTAAGTGACAGTCTCGGTGGACAGCATATTGTGTTTTAAGTAACTATACTGAACTGGAACATCTCATCTCCCAATTAAGTCAACTAATTGTAACTAATCTATGCTAAAACCTCTGTCGCGTTGGTATCAAAATCTGTCCTCCAAAGGTTATTACAGTCATATAGCCCCCAAGGAGCTCAGAGTCTGAGAGAAGAGACAGACACAAATATAAATATCAAAGAAGTTAAGCACGAAAACAAGTATTTACAATATTTTACATCTTACAGTGTGAAGCCAACTCTACGAATCACTTCCCTCATGTGTCTTGCTCAGCCTAGACCAAAAGAGAATTCCACTTCCACTAATTTGGTCTAAGACGCAGGCATCTGTGAAGCCAACAAGCAAAATGTATCCCGTTGTAACCTTGGAAAAAGTCTAGAGATTCAGGACTCTCATTTAACTCAACTAAGGATTCATAAATTTAAAGTCAAGAAACCCATAGGTGTTTAACTTGACTCATGGCAACCTGAAAAAATTGGTAATTTGAGGGTAACCCTAAAACATGAAGCATAATTCTAGGAGCACTAAATAAATGTTTAATCTGTCCTGACTTTTAGAGATTTTTCTGCATTTCAGGAATAACACACTGAGAACCTATGGACTATGGTGAAGATTAAATACATATTAAGTGAAACTGGTCTGTTGTTTTGTCAGCTACCAAAACTGCACAAGAATATCAAAGCATTTTAACCTACCATAGAAATTTCGACCAGTTTCTATGCTCTAAAAAATTAAATACCCTAAGAATTATAGCTCCCAGAAACCTTAGTAGAACTCATACATAAAATCAGAGACTAGTATTTTGGAGAGGATGATCTTTAATTAGTTGTCTGTTTTTTGGGGGTTTCCATTTCTTCTAGAGTCAATTCTAATAAGTACATTATTCTAGAAAAGATCCATTTCAACTAAATTTTCAAAGGTAGTCGCAAAAAGTTGTAGAGTTTTTGCAAACAATTTTTATCTCATTTGTATCTGTCCTTATAGCTCATTTCTCATTCCTAATATTATAGATGTTTTCTCAGTTTTTAGTGTACTAGTGACATAGCAAGTTATCTATTTTACTATTTACTTAAAACTATAAAATCATTTAAAGTCACTAGAATTTTGTCTTCTAGCTTAAATTCTTTTATACTTATTAATTCCCTTTTGCTATTTTCATTTTTCTAGCTTTTTTTTTAAATAAGTGGTTTTATTTATTTATTTGTTCATTTATTTATTGTGAGGAAGATCAGCCCTGAGCTAACATCTATGCCAATCCTCCTCTTTTTGCTGAGGAAGACTGGCCCTGGACTAACATCTGTGCCCATCTTCCTCCACTTTATATGGGACGCCGCCACAGCATGGCCTGACAGGCGGTGCATCGGTGCACGCCTGGGATCTGAACCCAGGCCACCAGCAGCGAGGCACGAGCACTTCCGCTATGCCACGGGGCCGGCCCCTTTCTAGCTTTTCGAGTTATATATTTTATTTATTTTCATGTTTTCTTATTTTTTAGTAAGAAATACTTCTTAAAAGTCTTAATTTTTCTGATGACAGCTTTGGTCCATCCAATCTGTTTATATAATGCTCCCATTTGTAGTATGTAATTGCAGTTTTGAGTCTTTCTTTTCCATATAATTAAATTTTAGATAACTATTTTCTATCAATGTTTTCATTGAACTGAAATCAAAGATTGTATCCTATACAATACCTACTTCTGAAAATTTGAAATTTCTCTATGCCCTAGAATGTGATCAACTTCTATTTCATGCATATTTTTAAAAGTGTGTATTTTAGAGTAAAAGATTCTATAAAGCTATTAAATCCCCCTTTTTATACATATGCTTCAAATCCTCTTCAGTTTCACTGTGTTCAGTTAAATTGGTCTAATGGAGGATTTCTCACTATACTTCAGAATTTGAACATTTCTCCTTTCTTCTAATTGCTTGGTTGATACATTTTGACGCTATACTCCTAGATACATAAAGGTTCGTGACTGTTGATCATCTTATTAGTGGACTATAATGTATATTAATCTACAATCTCTTTATACCATTTAAGCTTTATTTATATTAAATTATATTTCATTTGATGTTAGTTTTGTTCATAGACTGGATTATCTTGTCTAAGACAATGATGAAATATAGGAACTGCATAAAAATGTAAATTCTCACACAGAATTTAATGAGGTTTCCTTAATTTGTTCTAGCACTTACAAAAATCATTTTTATGAAGATTCTCATAAGCAGTGTTTTCTTTTTAGTTAACAAAATCACAATTTACTTTGATTATAATAACATTGAGCCTAAAAAGAACTTAAAAGTGGGTAATTTTTCTTTTTAATCCAAAGATTAAAGCAGCCCAAATAATAATCAATTACACACCATGTAGGGATTTAAGATGAAGCTAACCAAGTGGACTGTGAGTTTCACATAAAGAACACTTGTCTATTTTTGGTGTCTCCAGTGAGGTAAGAATTTTTCTTCAGTGAAGACTTATATACTAATATCTTCACTTACACACTATTTCTCTCTTAACCAAGAACATAATTTGATCAGTAGTTTAGACAGAACTAGGACTTTAATTTTGATTGTGGAACAAACTGGCCCATAACACGAAACAATTTTTAATGAAAACTTTATTAACACCATGCCCCAAACGATTTAATTACGGAGAACATAATACTTATATAGCCTTTGTAAGGTACCACAGGGAAGAAAATCTTACCTACGTCAGTTATGAGAATTGGCTCTTGCAAAGGAATATCAGGGACTGGAACGTTCGCCTTGCCGACACGAACCTTTGCAGGTTTTCGCTGGTGCCTCATCTTCCTTAGCTCCGTGTGTTTAAAGTGGGAAGCAATGTGAGTCTTCCTATGGCCTGAGGTTCGAAATTTTTTGTCACAGTGAGGACAAGCAAAAGGTCTGACTCCTAATAAAAATAAAAGTACACAGTAGATTTACTTCAAGGAAATGCATCTTAACAGTTAATGCCAACATAAAATTCTGGTATTTTAATACTGATTTGAATATTCAATTTATCATTTCATGCTTATAATTTCATGGATATTTTAGTTATTTTCCCTTGTTTGAATACAGTGCATATTAGAGATGTTAAGGCACATAATAAGAGCATTTTAGTAAAAAAAAAAACTTACTATTTTCAGGAGAAAGGCTTACATTATAAAATACAGATATTCAGACAAGTAGTCCTCAAGAACACTGACGTGTGTAAGACTGCTCTCTCTCACGTCGCCATCTGTACAGTGGAGCAGCACTGCCTGCTTCCAGGCCTGCTGCAGGAACTGGACATGCTCACCCGTAAACAGCACTCGGCAGTGCCAAGGACTGAGTACACAGCACTAAGTGTAGTCGTTACTGATTGTAAATAATGCTGCTGCTGCTGCTGCTGACAGTAATAATATCCTCTTAATCCTCTACTATCACTTCTCTTTTCTGAAGGAAAGTCCCTCACTTACAATTTTATTGGAAAATGAAAATGCAGATTCCAAAGAAGGACACAAAATAAAACCGACTAATTTCAGCTTTTTCAAATACTCATCCATATGGCCAGCTCAGCCCAGGAACCCTGAGGGGCTCGGGGAAGTTACTGTTAATGGGTAAGGGGTTTCTTTTGGGGATGATGATAAAAATGTTCAAAAAATCAGATAATGGCATGGGTTGCACAATTCTGAATTTAACACTTTCAAACTTGAATTTTATCTCAATTAAGCTGTGTAAACAAAACTGAAGCCTGAATATGAACATTTTCATGCCTTACTATTGATGACAAAATATCTGAAAGGTAGAGTAGTTATTAAGGTTTCCCTCCCTGCATAAGTCCTCAACACAAATGGTCCGGCTGAAGGAGGTCCCGAAAACCCAGAGGTCTTCATACACTGCAGAAGTGTCTCTTCCGAAAAAGGCCCACCTAGTCTAACTCTACACCTGGTCGCCCACAGTAGGCTCTGTCTTCACTCTCTGCACGTCTGTGTGCGTTCATGAGTGGTACTGTTTAACGCCTTCCTCATTAAGCCATCAACTCCATGAGGATCAAAGTCACCTCGACTTTACCAGTATATACCTCATGCCGAGCCTACAGAACGTAACCAAAAATACTTATTAAAGAAATAAAAACAGAGCGTTCGGAGCGTTCGGCTATTCTCTGCAGACCCTGCTGTCAGTCGGCCCGCGGCGCGAGGGAAGGGCCCGAGAAGCCCCTCGGCACCTGTGTGCAGGCGGATGTGCACTTTGAGGCTCCCAGAGGTGGAGAAGCTCTTCATGCAGTACTGGCACTTGAACGCCTTGATGCCCGTGTGCGTTTTGATGTGGGCGGTCAGCGTGCTCTTCACGGCAAAGGCCCGGAAACACTGCGGACACTTGAAGGGCTTCTCGTGGGTGTGGATGCGGATGTGGCGCACCAGATCGCTGGGCTTCCGGAACTCCTTGGTGCAGTAGGGACACACGTGCCACCGAACGCCATTCTCCTCGCGGATTGAACCTGGAGCAAAATTTAAACAGCAACAGTCCAGCTTGGCCTAGAAACTGTATTATGCCAAATATTAAGGTACTTTAATGTCTTTCTAGGGTTAAATTAAAACAGCACACCATACCGATGAAAAGCTATATACTTTTTGCCACAGCAGAAGATATATGATTATGGATAAAGTTGAAATTTGCATAATCACTGAAATCATTGAGGACTATGATTTAATCTTGCAGAAAATCCTAACAGTCCCACGAGAACACAAATCACAGCCTGTGAGAGAGAAGAGCGCTAACTGACAAGCAATGAGACATAAATCAGGAGTCAGCCCACTGTGAATGTGAGTAAAAGCAGATGTGATCAAATGACTCCAAAAATAACTCAGAGAACATGAAGAGAGGGAATGAGGTTGGAATAAGCATTGTTTGAGCCCATCTGATATCACTAATAAGAAAACACTACAAATGCAAATAATTAGGAAATAGTAAGTCCTTATGCTATAAAAGGGAATTTACAAATAGTTAAGACAAAGAAATAGTATATATGACACAAACGAGTTCATGATCAAATATAAAAGATTCTGTTTTGTAACTTGAAATATTAGTATTTACCTTTGAATCAGGTTTAAAACTATTCCTATCAGAAGAAAAATCACAAGCAGAATTCATGAAAACATAATAAGTACAATGATTTCTAAAATATAAAAGCTAAAAAAAATAATTCAGCAGAATAATTTTTTAGTTTTTTAAATGTTTTCTTAGATATATTCATCTAAAATTAAATAGGAACCTACAATAAGGTAAAGAATCCACTTGAAATCAAAAATATTTTGGCCATGTTAATGAAATTCATCAGAAAATTTTAACTATTTAGCTGTGTCTGTACAGACATAGTTTTATTACGGAAAAAGAAAATCTCCTGTTTCCTTCTCTTTGTCATCAATAAATACAAGGAATTCTCCTTATGTGCAAGTGAATCTGTAAGAGAAAATGTATTTTCCTGAATATAATGCTCTTTGAAGACTAATTAACATGAGAAAGGAAGTCAGGAAAAAGAATGAAAAACAATGTTTTTCTAAAAAGTGATACAATGGAAACAAAGACAAAGAGAGGGAACATACACAAACCACGAGGGGGAAAAAAGAGTAGAAACAAGGAAATGGTTTTCAAAATGAGAGAAAGACATTTTATGGTGATATTGCTTATATTAAGGAAGTCTAAAACTTAAGAAAGCTTAAAACTAATAGGTAAAAATTCAGAGAAGTGCAATAATTACCTAAAGGTCTTATCATGACAAGTCAAAAAAGCAAGGTATAAAAAGATGAGAGAGAACTATAATATCTATTAGCTAAAATTATAAAATCATCCCCCAAAATCAGATTTTTCCAAACAAAAATGAAAATATATCTTTAATTACATAAGATGACATAATTTAAGACTGTCACTATGTTCTAATTATTTCTGGGAATAGACAGGAATAGAGACTACAAACCAGCAGCCCTGAAGCTGTCTCCAAATCTGGCCTGCATATGTTTGGTTCAGCCCACACGTGTGACAAGAAGAAAACTGAACCCAGATTTCCGACCCTTTGACAAACTGAAAGGTCTGGAAAACCAGATCTGCACTCCCACATGGCAACATACTCTGGTGCTGGGCAATAGCTTTGCTCTTCACATATATTAATAAATTTAAAAAGAGAAACATATAATAATCTTCAATATGAAAAGGCATTTACTAGAATTCAACATCTAGTTTTAACTTTCAAAAAACTGTCTAAAAACAGGAGGAAGTGAATAAAACATATCTCAATATGACATTTGACTTAATAGGAAAACACTAAAAGAAATCCTGTTAAAGTCAGGGAAAGTCCACTATCACTGCCATTAGTTTATCGTGTTCTAGAGATACTAGCCAATGAAATTAGATAAGATAAAGAAAATACACAGTATAAACTATAAAGAAAAAGGTAAAATCATTATTTACAAATGATATAATTATATACCTAAAAAAACTAAAACTCAGAAAGAGGCCATTTTAATACATGAAAATCGACATCCTTCATATCTACAAATACAGTCCAGATGAAAATTTTAAAATACTACTAAAATATATTAAAAAAAAAGAAGATCTGAATAAATGGAAATGCATATCTTATTCTTTGGTACAAAGACTAATAGTTATAAAGCCATTAATTCTCCCTGGTTAAGTCACTAATATACAAATACCAATAAGACTCTTTTAGAACTAGAGTTTTGGAACTTTAGCAGATGATTCTTAAGTACATATGAAAAAATAAATATATGATAATAGTCAAAAATACACTTTAAAAAAAGTATAACGAGAGAGGACTAGGCTTCCTAATTATTAAACCACACTATTAAAGCAAAAACCACTTGGTACCAGAAAACATGAATAAAAAGACAGGTTAGTGGAGTAGAATAAAGTCCAGAAAAGACCCATATAGGTTTGAGAGTATAATATATGATAAAGGTGGCACTGCATTTCAGTGGGGAAAATATGACTTATTCAATAAATGAGATCTGGACAGCTGGGTGCCCATCTGGAAACAAAAAAATAAAACTGAGTCAGAAATTTAATTTCAAGTATGAAAGTATAAAAGTTTTAGATAAAGAGGTTATTATTCTACAATGTCAGTGTTGAAGGCCAAGTATTACACAAGTCCAGAAGTAATGAAACATTGACAACTTAGGCTATATAAAAACAAAACATTTCTCCCCATTTGGCCATATAAAAACAAAATACCTCTCCCTTTTAACTCAAAAGGCTAACAAATTAGAAAAGAACATATGCCACAAATCTAGCTCCCCAAATACTATCACCCTTAATGTATCACAGCAAATAAAAATCCAGAGTCAGTTAATGGAAAAATGCTCTTTAACATGAAAGGCTGCTCAACCTTACTCCTTGTGAGAAAAATTAAATTAAAACTACACTAAGAAAGCATCTTCTAACCTACCAGATGGGTAAAAAGGACTCCACAATTTTGATAACAATCTCTTCAAAAAGCTGTGGTGAAGCTTCACATTGTTGTTTACAATACATGGTTTCTGGGGGTGTAAATCAATAAACTCCATGAAAGGAAATCGGCGATATTTACCAAAATGTTTCAAGTATGTACAAAATATTTTATCTTTTGTTATCAAGCACATTAGTGACACAAATAATAAAATTTGAATAGGGTCTGTAGACTGGACCAATTTTAATAACTTGATGTTGCTGACTGCACTATGGTTATGTAAGACAGTGTCCTTGGTCTTAGGAAATACACACTGAAGTATTGAGAGTTACAGGGGTGTTATATCTGCAAGTCACACTCAGAACATTCAAGGAAAATACAGTTAAAGAGAAAGCAAACGTAGGAAAATGTTACTATTTGGGGACACTAGATGAAAAGCATATGGGAATTTTTTGTATTGTTTTTGCAACATTTCTGTTAAGCCTGAAATTATTTCAACATTATAACCTTAAAACAATCTTTACAGAACTTTACAGAACTTCTCCTTCGAAACCTCTGACATTTCCAGAAATGAACCCTACAGATACACATGTGAAATGACAGAGCTACAGACTGATCTACCGCAGCATTGTTTGTATCAGCAAGATTACAAATAACCTAAATATTATTAAATTATCCATAAAATGGGATGCTATTCAGGAATTTTGTAAAATAAAATATCAGGTGGAAAAAAGTAAACCGTAAAATAATATATATAGTATGCCACTCATCCTGCTAAAAAAAAATAATATATATAACAATATGCCTATGCTTGTTTAAAGGACACAGAAGACCGCAGTGACAGTGGCTGCTCTGGGTATGGGTGCGTAGAGAACAAGAATGAGCCGGGGACTTTTCACTTTTCACTGTATACCATTTTGTATCTTTTGAATTGTGTGGCATGAGCAACTTTCACCTATTTAAAAAATAATTTTAAAATATATGTATTCATTAAGAACTTATTGTGCATCAGGCACTGTTCTACCATGGATTTTCTCCTTCAGTTCTCTTCCATTTATTCTATCATTGCCTCATTTTACAGATGAAAAGGCTGACATTTTAAAGGTTAACTCACTTGCCCAAGGTCAGAGGCCAGTAAATGGAAGAGTCAAGGCGCATACTGAGGTCTGTGCGATTCTACAGCCTGAGTGCAATTTTCTCAGAAAGGTCTGTCCTCCCAGCTTTACTTTAAGGAGAACATTTACCACGCATTTACGAGGTGGCGAGTACCATTCAGGGCATGCCCCCACCCTTGAAGAGACTAAGGTGTGGCAACACAAGCATGCATTACTGTAGAGCATGAGACATGCAAAGACAGCGCCGATTCATCCCACAGGGAGAAGAGCACTCAAAAATGCTGCCTACGTGACAGGAGCCTCTAGCTGAGCTTCAGAAGGCCCATATTTGATTGCCAAGAAGGACGTGACTTGAGGTACATTTACCAGGCAAAGGAATAAGCAAAAGCCACGTATGAAGTTCCAGAAATTTAGAGTTCAATATGGCCAGAGTGTGAGACATCTAGTGGGAATCAGCAAAAGTCAGAGCTTGAGAGGCAGACAGGGTGAGATGAAGGAGAGCCTTACATGCTGCGGGAAGGTGTTCAGCAGGAGAGAAAAAGGCCTAGACGTGTCCTCCTCACTCTTCAATCAGTTTCCACACAAGAGAAGGTGCCAGGGGATGCAGCCAGCTCTGTCTGCAGCGTCAGCTGTGGCCGCCGCAGAGGACGAGGGCAACAAGGTGACAAGGACCTGGGCAGTGCAGGTGGGAGGCAGACAGAGTGACAGGGAAGATACTTGTTTCTGGGGGATCAGAGGGGCACACCTATTATAGTTAGACAATTCCAAGTAGAACAAGAGGGATGGACGGACAGCCTTCTTTAGGGCTAAATCCAAATGCTGATTCAGACTTTAGACAAAGGGCTCAGGCAGTTAAAGATTTCCCCAGATGCCTGGCAGGTGTGTGCAGAAGTTCCATCCCAGAGGACATACAGTGTTAGTCAC